CTGAGGTAACTTTAGTTTTGGCATGGAGGCGGTAGCGATTGAACAGTTCCCCTTCCATCTTGTACTCGATGCCATTGCCATGTGGCAGATGGTTACAGATAAGCATCTTGACTGCAAGAAAGATAGAAAAAAGAATTGGTGCGATCACGCAGCCCTGCTTGACGCTGGTTCTCATGGCAAAGGGCTCCGTAGCAGAGCCACTGCATAGGATAGAGGCAGTCATGTGGTCATGGAGGAGTCTTAGGATAGTGATAAATTTTTCTGGTCAGCCAAACTGATAAGATGTTCCATAGAGCCTCACAGCTTAAAGGCTTTGGTTAAATTGAGTAAAGGTCATTTACAGTTCCTGGTGCTGTTCTCAGCATTTCTTCTGGATCTGCCGAGCCACAAAAATCATGTTCATGGTGCCTCTTGGAGGTCTGAAGCCACATAGAGATTTGGGAAGGATTTCCTTGGCAAGGGGGAGCAGTCAGTTCAGCCAAATTTGAGCAAGGATCTTTCCAGTGATGGAGATGAGGGCGATACCTTTGATAGTTTCCACAGTCAGACTTATCTCCCTTTTTAAAAACGGTGACAATATTGGCGTTCCTTAGGTCAGCGGGAATTTCCTTAGTGTTCCAGATTTTGAAAACAGTGTGTGGAACTTGTTAGTCGTTCCCCCACCAGCGCTGAAGACCTCAACTTGAGTGCTGTCAGAGCCAGATGCTTTGTTGTTCTTCATCTGTCTTATTGCTTGGTGGACTTCCACAGAGGTCAGTGGACTGGCAAGTGTTCCCTTACTGGATGCTGCAGGATGGTTTCATCAGTTGAGTCTCAGTTCAGGAGGTTTTGGTGGTGCTCTTTCCAGTGGTTTTGGATGGACTTGTCTTTGAGGAGTGTACTGCTGGCTTCAGATGGGGTGAGTCTAGAAGGGCTTGGTCTGTACACAGCCTTGATTGCACTGAAGAAGCTCCGCGTGTCATGATTGTCAGCTAATAGTTAGGTATCCAGGTTTTACAGTCTTTTCTTATATGCCTGATGAAGGGTGTTTGTACCCGAAAGCTTGCAATTAAATAATTTTTTTTGCAAAATCTAGTTGGTCTAATCAAAGATATCATCTCTACCTTGAGTCCTCATTGCTTTCAACAAATAGTTGGATTCCTTTCCCCTTCTCTTTCCATGATTTTTTTTTGATTTATTGAATCTTCCTCTAGGGTTTTCTCTTCCGATTGAAAAGGACTTTGATCTCAGCATTGTTTTTGTCAAACCGGTTCTGATGGCATCAGGTAATAAAGCTGACTGATTCTGTGCAAACTTCATGGGTGGTCTCCTTTAGAGCTTGCCAGTCTTCCTCAATACAACTGTTATCATTTTCAGTCCTAAGATTGGAGAGTTTCTTGCTGAGGTATGTTTGGAGGGCTTCACGATACTTAGGCGTTTGAAGGCACTTGATGTTGTACTGTCTTTGGACTGATTTGGGCTGCTTTCAAAATTTCATCATAATCTTAATGGACTTGATTTATCTCACTAAGTGATGATCGGTCCAGCAGTCCATTGGCTTCTCTCATAGCATGCATGATATGAACATCTTTTAGATCATGTGCTCTTCCAAGGAAGTAGTCAAGGAAGTGCCATTGTTTTGAGCAGGGGTGATGCCGTGTTGTGTTGTATCTTCATGTTGTCTGAAAATCATGTTAGTAATGACCAGGGATCATCAGCAGTGCTTGAGCAGCTGTGGACCCTTTTGCATAAGCTGATGATGCAAGATGCTCTGGCCATGAAATTAAATCCAGGACAGTGTTGTACACTTTGTGTATTTGGCATTTTTGGGACTGTAACACATCCAGTGCTGTCACCAAGCATCCACATATCTCTGCGACGTACTTCAGGTCAGAGTGCAGGTCTTTTACTGCTAACAGGCTGGCTAGTTCCCGCAGAACAGATGTATCCCTATATTCCGTTGATTCCTGCTCCACAAACCCATGGTAGATCTGGTAGTATTGTGCAAGGTACTTTACACAATTGAACTACGTATTCCACCTCTTCACAACTGATTCAGCTGGTCGTGTTGATGAATCAATGCTCTGTTCCTTCACATACCTCAAGAACCATGCACAACGAGCTGGAGCTTTCACTTATAGTGACTTCATCAAAGCAACAAAACAATCCACTCACTTGAAGGTATCTCACTAAGTATTTCCTGCCAGAACAACCATATGTGCATAGCAATGAATGTACACATAGTTTGACCACAGATTGCAAAGCACATCGTTAAAAGCCTTTGCCATGTAGCACACACTCTCTGTTACAAATGCTACTATTCACTCAAGTAGGATGCTGGATTCCACCATATAAGAAATCAAGGCTTGTGAAATGGTGGCTTGAAACTTTCCCCAGGCACACTGTTTTTACCAACTGTGGTATGGGAATGTCAACATGCCTAGGAGGACATACCTTGAGCATCCAAAATAAAAAGTTGAAAACTGGTCTATTTTGGAAGTCGGTTGTTTCTTTGGCAGTCATGGCAATGAAGTTTCCCTCAGAGTCATTAAGAAGGTGCTGTTTTTTCTCTTCAAAAAGAGTGGGTAGGTGGGAATACAATTGGTCTAACTTGGGAATGGTCCCACCTCCCTTAACATTCTTGCTCAAAAAATCCTTGACAACATTTTATGTAGAGGAAAATCTGTTGGGTGAGCAAAGGAGATCCTAAAAAGGACTGCTTAGTTTTGATTGCAGCTGCTGAATCACCCTCTTGTCTCATTCCAAGGATGAAGCGATTAGCTCGTGACTGTCACCTATGTGTGGATCTGTGACTAGGGACTCCCAGTGATCACTTCATCTGACCCTGTTGCCACTAATCCAGTACCGCAGGGCTTTGTAGAGATTTGGGGATTGGTGATTGGTTATTGTGGTAGATGTTGAGTCAAGTTGGAGAAGCCTATGCGTGACTTGTTTTATGTAAGGAGGCCATTGGGCATTGGCAACCGCATGGATCTTGGCAGAGGGGAAACCTGTGTCCGGTGGAAAGGAGATCCAAGATAACTGGGGTTACTCTTCCACCACAGCCTTCAGTTTTCTTCAAGCACAGTACCCAAAAATGGACACAGTACTCCAGGTGAGGTGTCACCAGGGCCAAATAAAGAATTGCTTCTATTGATTTGCAAGTGACTCTCCTATTAATACAGGCCAATATGATATTGACCTTTTTTACTCAAATGGAAATGAGTTTGATGCTCCTGCTTTACTTGTATTACCAGGTGATTGCTTCATTCATCTGTCAAGGCATCAAATAATGGCCTCTTTGGGATCTGAGTTAATAATGTATCGTAGAGTAGGGCTGTGTGAAACAGCACCATTCCGCTTAGACTTCCGTTTTGAGGTTTCAACAGAACCGTGTTTTGTTTTGAGTTTTTTTCATTTTGAAAGCACTGTTCCGTTTCATTTTGTTGAAACCGTTTTGCTATTTCGATGCTGTTTTGATGTTTCGCCCATAGGCTATAATGGGGAATAATGAAAATGCCTAAAAACTTGTCATTTCTTGCCTGATTTGGATGAAACTTGCAGGGATGGTAGCCCCATCTGAGGTCATGATGCCTGCCAAGTTTCAAAGAGATAGGTGCAGGGATTTCTGGGACACTGCACCTCAAAGGGTTGACAAGCAAAACTGCTGTCACTTGCTGGAAGCGGCAGCTTCCTGTCATCTGGCCCACAGATCCAGGGGCCTGCACGCCTGGGGAGGCTGTGGGGCTGTGCCAGACTCCTCCCAGGGGTACAGGCCCCCAGATCTGCATGCTGGATGACAGCATACTGTTGCTTCTGGCTGGGGCCAGTGCCAGGGCCAATCTTCCTGGTGCTCGGCATGGGCTGCACCCAGCACCAGTCCCAGCCAGCAGCAGCAGCCTCCTGTCACCCAGCAGGCAGATCGGGGGCCCGCCCACACCCCGGGAGGGCTGCGGGTCTGTGCCAGACTCCTCCCAGGGCTGCGGGCCCCCAATTTGCCTATCAGATGACAGGAGGCTGGGTGCAGTCTGCACGCAGCACCAGGAAGATTGGTGCTGCTGCTAGCCCCAGGTGGCAGAACCAGCTTCCTGTCATCCGGCAGATTTGCACCGGATGAGAGGAGGCTGCTGGTGACAGCTGGGACCGGCGCTGAAGCCAAGTAAGCCCAGCTTTGAAACTCGAAATGTTTCTAAATATTTTAAGTGCCCTTGTTTCATTTTGAAGCCATTTCAAAGGCTTTTGTTTCATTTTGATTTTGCTGTTTCGAGCTCGAAACGCATCGGAACAGCTTTGAAACAAAACACCTGGTGAAATTTTGCACAGCCCTACTGTAGAGATCTAGGTAGGGGAGGGGCTCTCATGCACATGGGGCCACCTGGACAAAATTTCACATGTTAGATGCTACTGAGGGAATAATACATTATTGAGAGGCTGATGGACTTAGAAATGCCTTATGCTTGTGCCTGAAGCAGGGTGTTTGTACATGAAAGCTTGCAAAGAATTTTTTTCAACTATTTTAGTTAGTCTAATAAAAGGTATTACTTACCCAAAGAACCTTGTCTGCCTATGTCCTTAGACCAACATGGCTACAACCAACACCCCCGAAAAAGAGTAGCAGTGCTTTTATTGGTAAGATAACTTGTCTTACAGTCTTTTGGAGGTTGGTTTGTTTGAAGCAGTAGGGCCTAATTCATTGCTTTGTTGATCTGTTGAAGCCCAGTAGAGCTCCAGTCACGTGAGACTGGAATAATACATTTGCAAATGAGGTCCTAAGTGTGAAGTGATCTTTGGTTTTGATTAAGCTTATGTCTGAAATCCATTTGTACCTGTCAGCAGTGTGGCAGTTAGATTGATTTAGCTATTGCTATGCACATGGATTTCTTCATATAAAGAAACATGGGGTTATTTGTATAGTGAGATGTTACTCAATGTGCAAATGGCAGAACTAGTCCGTACAATCAATTGTGTTACCTTTTAAATGAAGAAATCACTTGAGTAACGTTGTTGTTGTTGTCCTTCAGACCTGGCTGTGGATTTCTGGACCTTTGTGCTTGTATTGTGCAGAAAGGCTCTATCGCTACATCCGAAGTAATAAACCGGTCACGATAACTTCTGTGATAAGCCATCCCTGTAATGTCCTTGAATTGCGAATGATGAAAAACAACTTTAAAGCAAGGCCAGGTCAGGTAAGGTGCCTCAAGTCTATAGAAATGACAGCTTTCAACTTTGGAGTCTTAGTAGTAATACCCATAACAGAATGTTTTGAACACATCTTTTTTTTTTCTATTACTCATTTTTCTCCGGATGATTTATTTCAGTACATTATTCTACATTGTCCAAGAGTGTCAGCATTAGAGAACCATCCATTTACTCTCACAATGGTAAGACATCATTTTTATTTTGATTTATTACTTTTTCATAGTTTCTCATTGTATTTATTTCTGGTGAGTGCATGTTCTCTCTTCTTCACGGAGAAAATTCTTTAAAGAAGAGGTTACGTTTCAGTTATGTGGACACCTGTGAATATAAAGTACCATGATTTTTATGCTCGCTGAATGATCTTTATGTATTTACCTTTGTTCACTCTTGAGAAAATGATTAGGGAAACCTGTTTTCTAACTTTTCCATGAATAGAAAATACTTCTATGAATTGAAAATTCATTCAGTTTTGAACATTCATACAAAAGAAGCTATCCTAAAGCTGAATACGGCTGAATTAACCCTTTTATTTGGAATAGTTGCTTTGGGATTCCCTGAAACCTGAGGAATTTGGCAAGGAAACTTGCTGAGATGCATATTCATGTTTACATATAGACATATATGAGAACCAAGGACAAGTAAAGAATATAGTAATGAGCACCGCACCATAACGACTGACTCCAACACTTATGTACGAACTCAGACTGGCAGGCACAGACTCTCATGGACAAGCCATACTTTTAGACATGCTCTGGGGGTAGGTGGGGGGGTGCTGTAACTGGAGTGGCTCTGATCGCTGCTCTAATTAAAGCACCACTGCCTCTCATGTATCAGTCTCCATGCTTAGAAATGGCGGTGGGGACACTTTAACTAAAGCTCATTTGACAAGCTTTACATAAAGCACCCCAGCTGCCATTTTTAAGCATGGGGATGCTGATACACGAGATGCAGGAGGATGCTGGGGTGCAGCAATTGCCATGCTCCAGCAGATTAATCGCATCTGCTCCGACACGCTGAGATTCCAGTGCTTTAGAACAGCCTCCGTGCTCATGTATAGGTGCCCTTAAACCTTTTGTAACCAAAGTTTTTCTCGTACAACTCCCACAGCTCTTGAACTCAGTACTCACAAATACTTCTCACAAGGAAAGCTCACTCAGTCACTAATCAACCAACTTACACAAAAGTATTAACTATTTTTAGTTGTGTTCTTACACATTGCACATCTCTCTCTTGGGATTGACTAGATCAGTGTTTCTCAACCTTTAAAGTAGCAAGTATCCCCTAACTTATGAAAATTTTAATAAGTACCCCAACACTCAATTTTCCACGGAATTTTATATTTACAGACTAATGTTTGCCATATATTGGAAGAAGGGCTATATAAGGCATATATATGACAGATGTCTGACCTGGTGTGGGTAGGGTTGCCACCTTTTACACCAGGGGTGCACAACTCAAGTATGTACTAGTGCTAGAGGTGGTGTTGGCCAAAGCTAGGAGGGTTGAACCCCCTAGGAGTGGTGGGAGAAGAGTGGTGGGAGAACCAATTTCTTACACCAAATTATTACTGGGGAATTTAAAGTGCCGCACAGTGCGTGGTGCGCCAAATTTTTTGCCATAGTTTTGAGAAGAGGAAGGGGTCAGAGAGAGAGGAAAGTGCTTCTTGGCCAGCTTGGGGAAGCAGGGGGTGGCGAGTGGCCAGATGCAAACCCGGCAGCAGCGGGGGGAGCAGCGGCACCCTCTTGTTACAGGGGTTTTCGGTGCCCGCATACTCCCTGCCTGTGTCTTGCTTACTCCAAGAGGTACACGTACCACAGACTGAGAAACTATGGACTGGACCTTTCCCAGCTGAGCTTCCCCTGTTAGGGTGGGAGGTAGGTTCCCTGGCCTAAAAAAGGAGAGGTGATACTGTACCTAATCAAGTAAGTATACAGAACTTCTGAGCTCTTTCGACTCTCCAGGTTTCCTAGTTTCCTCTTCTGAGGAGGCTCACAGCCAACGGCTACTCTTCAGGGCTGAAGCACACAGCCCTCTGAAACACTGCACAGCGTTTCCAGTGGTGAAGATCTGCCAGGATGCACGCTGGCCCATCCCTGATGGTCTCCCGTAGTGTCAAACACACACGAAGACCAAGCAGAATGCAAGACTCTGAATTCTGGTCAGCAGCTTCCTTTTAAAGGCCAAAATCACCCCACTAGGGCTGATCATCATTCATACACCTGTCCATGACACATCAGTCTTCCAAACTCATACTCCTTTCACAGGTTAGCTAATCATACCTTCAGTCACTTTGGGAGTGGAGCTAACACACCTGTCAGTGACACTCATTCTCCCACCACTCCTGATACCACAGCTACTCATGCTCATCAACAGGGATCCTGGTTTACTTTGATTTAAAAAAAATCCCCAATTTTTGGTTTAAAAAAAAGGTAACCTCAAATCCACATTTTTGCAGGATTAAAATGAAACACCACTAATATATAGCTATATATGTAATGGTATTTCATTTTAACCATGGAAAAATGTGAATTTGGAGATCCTTTTTTAACCGAAAATTGGTTTTTTTTAAAATCAGAGGTGAATAGTTCATGCATACGTGGAATAGGTTCTTCTTCCTTACGTCACGCATGCTCCAACTTACGTAAATAACTTAACAGACTAAACCAAATTGGAGAAACGGGGCACTAACAGCACACCAAAGCTCTTCCCCAATGCAGAGGTGAATTTGGTGCAGTGACTCTAGCATTTTTTGCACAGCATTTTGTTTCAAAGATCGCTCCCGCCATATGCCTCAGTGTAGCAGTCACTAAGCTCATATAGCAACAAGTGCTATTTTGTGATATCAGTTTTTATTTGTACTTCATTAAAAGGATACAGTGGGGAGTGTTCTGTGTATGTAAGGAGAGTAGGATGAGGCCCAATATTTGTAGTGCTTTTTCAGGTAGCGGAGAATCGGAAGAACACATTTATTGTACATTAACTTCAGCAATGACCTGGCTATTTTTATGGTCCATATCACATTGATATATTTATGAATCCATATGGTGCTAATTATAACCACCTGGTTGGACTAGTATATTAGTTGTAGTAGTGACAGGATGGGAGAATCTCTTGTGTGAGAGGATTTTGTGCCCTGCTTCTCATAGGAGTAGCAATCAGAAGATGAATTTCAAACATGGGACTTTGGTTCTGATTTTGCTTTTAACATTAGTTTAGTCTTTATGTAGCTAAAGTGCCTGTTGGAGTTACTCTTGATAAGTCAGAAGAGAATTGGAGCCATTTTATATAAATATGAGATGCCCAGTGTTTTTCAGTTTGCTGTCATGGCATTAAAGTTGATAGAAAGAAAAAGTTAAATGGTTAATTATATTTGTACACTCCTTGGAAGCCATAAAACTCAATATAAAAGCTAATTTTCCCTGTAGTGATTCTCCTTGTAACACTGATACTGCAGTTTTATATATCCAGTGTGATAGCAGCTTCCACAATGATTGGTTAGTGGCTTGGTTGGAATTGGCTAAAGGCCTTGTACTAGGATTACCATATTTCCAGGTCCAAAAAAGAGGACATCTGTCACATGGGTGGGGGGAAGGGGAGGAGGGCAGGGAGAATATGACATGGGGGGGATAGTGAGATGCCAGTGCCCTGCCCCTGCCTGTTCTGTTGCCCCTTACTGCCAAGCCACAGCCACACCCCATTCCTGCTGCTGCCC